GCTTTAGACCACAAATGGAATTGAAGAAAACTGAAATTGATTCGAAACAAGATGCTCCTTGATTGCATCTCTACTCTCCTTCTCTATGGTTCAAGATGTTCCATCTTGAGGGGGGAGTGTTGGAATATATGCAAGCTCGCCTACACCTTCAGCACCAGCAGCCCACATTCTACAGCAAGATCATCAGCACGTTCAGTTCAACAGCAGCTCCTTCTTCCAGATTCTAGCTTCTTCTAGTTCCTTCCTTAGTTTGTTATCTTGTTAGTTTGTTAGATAATTGGTTAACTATTTTCTCTATAAATAGAATAGATTACCTTGTCATTTCCTCAAGCATGAATGAATGAAATTGTTAATCATCTTCCCTGCTTCCAGCAGGCCTATCCCTTTATTTCTTTTTCTGTCAATTTTCGTTTCAATAATTTCAGCTTCAATTTTAGAACCTTTCCTTGATCGGTCTCTGTTAGTTTTAGTTCCTTTAATTTTAGCTTCAAATCTCATATCCGTTCTTTTATTTTATCAAACAGTCCTTTTCACAATCATCAATTTATAAAAGTGGCTACAATAAGTGTAAACAGTTCGACATATGGTTAAATATGATGCTCCAAATTTATCCCGATGAATATTAGTAACAAATATCATTTAGAGATAATTAATTGATAGGTATATGAATAGCTCTGTTTTGCTATATCGTTAAGGATGCAATTCTGGTAATGATTAGCACAATCTGGTAGCATATCATCTGTATACATCACACTATATTCTTCAACAAGTTTGGTCATTTTTTATTCTCGATGTTATCTTAAGTTGAGGGAGAATCTTAGTCAATCCATGTGGTGGAGAGACAAGCTCAGTGCATGCCCACCCTTCAAGTATTAACATCATTAGCCAAACCAAATAAGGGCATAACTTAGAACTAATGCATTAGATTATGCTGTTTCCATTTCACTGTGCACTCAATTGCAATAAGGAAACTTGACTCCTTGTTGGCAACAATAGTTTAAGCTAGAACTATCTTATTGAAGTAAATTTCTAAAGTGGCTTGAGTCGAATGTTTGATTTAGAGTTGGCAATATATGGATGAAACTCTCCTTGAGCTTCAGAAAAGATCGAAACTTGAGTGGTCATTCAGGTATCTAATTTTCCAAGTTAGATCCAACTTTCATTCCATATGCAAGACTTGCTACACCGTGGTTTTTTAATGAAATCAAGCAATTAATTAAGACACATTTTCACTTTTTCGATGAACATGCATAAACCATTTAATACACGGTCCATTAATGACAAGTAAATTGGACAAACTCCACTTTCTTGGGTCTTCACTTGAAAGGCAGGATCTAGAAGTGACACCCGAGATGTTATCGCCTTCTATATTCTTGTACATGATCCATACCTTATTAATGACTAGGAGAAGCATTACTAATCTCTATAGATAATGGACAGAAACAGAATTTGGTCTGAACATTTCTCTGTTTCTATGATTTGCTAGAAACTCGTATAATTTTGAAAGGAGTAAATTTTGCTACGTTGAGGTGAATATTTGATTCTATTTTCTTCTGATTCCAGAGGCAAAAAAGGGAGAATACATAGCATATTTTGGGTTTTTACTAAAATTTCTGAATCAGATCCTAAATACTTGTTAATAACTTAATACTATTAAAAACAATGGTCAAGAATAGAGACATTTTTCTGGATGAAAATGATCATTTTTTTTTTCTTTTTTTGGGTAGATAATGGCTTCTTGAACAAGACTTGGCAAGAAAAATAGAGTTTTTACTACATCCTATTAGTTCAAAAGTTTCCTTGTCAAAGGCATCATGCAAAGGTCCGTTATCTCAGACTACTCCTCAAGCTAATATCTCTTCTCCATTGTCTCAGACTAGTAATGTTAAAGTTCCTACTCCATTACCTCAACCTCTTCAGGTTCCTACCCCATTATCTCAACCTCAACCTCAACTTAATTCATCACATGCAACCACATTGACACATGAGACCATTCTTAATTCCAACGGTAATAATTTATCTT